GTGGAAGACAAAGACGAGTTCATCTGGGCACAAGCCCTGTCTGTGAGAAGCATGAAAAGAGAGACACCCTCCTGTGTTTTTTCCCTGAGGAGTAGTAGTAAATCTCACAGAGGGCCTTATGTGGCTATTAATGCAGTTGTTTGAGCACTACTCAAATAAAAGAGGATGGCAGTTAATCAAAGAGAAACCCCCACTGCATCCCAGGCATGATCAGCCCCTCTGGCACTTGCTGCTATTCTTGTTGTGAGGAGGTAACATATTAAAACCATGCTGTCCCTACTCCCCCCCATCCACCAGCATCACCTCTGTTTTCCCCTCAACAGCTGCATCACTGCCATGGGGGATTATCAGTCTGTGATGTTTAAACAAGCCTATGGGTTGTATGTCTTTTGAGGCAAATTCTGCTTCTCTAAGTTAAGCCATGGCTGTCAGCTGTCTTTCCCAGAGATTCTGGGTACACTGCATGTGTTCCTAAAGTCAAACTGACTCTCAGGCCCCAGCTCTTACCTATGGCTGGATGGGCCATTTTGGCACAAGCTGTGGTCAGACAGTTGAACACAGTCCATGTGTGGTCCTCTTACTCCTTTGCAGAAAAGAGAGTTTATAGAATGAAGGAAAGCTTTCTGGCAGAACAGTTTAGAGCACAAATCCCACAGATCTTCATACGTACATCTTCCAAACTTACAGCCAGGTCAGCATGGGCTTTAAAGACTGTTGGATCAGGACCATTGTTTCTTTGTCCCTTTTGTCCAAGCCGTAGCTCTATTACAGCTATCACACAGTTGAGATAGTTCTGTGATACTACAGTATGCTAATTCCTAAGGATTCCTTTTCCTTTTGTAGAATTTAGATTTCTCCTATGTTTATAGCACACATGGGGAAAAACTAAAATTCCTTTGTTCTTTCTTCTGTCTCTGTGCTGAAAGGCTGAAGAGGCCATGCTTCCCAGACCAGCCACTCTGAGCTCAGCCTTAATGGCAGGCAGGGGGTGGTTGCCTCCATGTCAGGGCTTGCTTTAAAAAAAAAACCAAGGATCTTAATTCCAGCATTGGAAATGAAGAAGAGTTTGCTATTAGCTCTCATATTAATAATTTAGAAAATACATGCCCAATCACTTGTGTTCTCTCAGTTCTCTCTGAACACAGCTGCAAACTGCATTAGGTGTTAGGGTGAATGGATATATTTCAGATGAGATATTTGTCCTGAATTATTAGGGTAGTCTGTATTACAAAATTACTAATAAACATTGCTTCTGGCTCAATTTAGCCTGAACTCAGTGAACCTAGCCAGTGGTGAGAAATCAAAAACTCCGAAATGCCCGATGAATGAATCTAACTAATCAAGAAACCCTGCAGGAAGTAGATGCCAGGATTAATGAGCCAGCGGTTTCACCATGCCATGCTGTTATTTCTTCACATAAATGCCCTCAGATGAGATTACCTTTGTCATGAAAAGGAGAAAAGGAAGGTTACATTCTTTCATCTGACAGGTTAACTGCCATACATCCATTACTGCAAGATACATTTTCATGTGCAAAGATTTTTATTCTGAAAAATGAAAATTTAAAGACCACAACACAAATTAAACCACATTTTTATTTCCAGGAGCAGGGATCATTGCAGCTAGTACAATAATATAATCCTGCTGCAATGTTATCTGATCCTTTGCCTTGCGCAAACTTTCCTCTGATGTTAGTAATTGCTCAGTGAATGCAATCTCAAGCAGCAGGTGAAAGCAGATTCTGCCTTCCATGGGGATTTGAGGAGAGGAAAGAGAGTGTCAAAGCATTTCATCAAGAGAGCAAATGAAAGGTTCAGTGACATTATCGTTATGTATATTCCTTAGACATTAGGGGTGATGTTGTGTTTAGAGGGAAGAAAACCTACGTGGATATGTGCCGGTGTGGAAATGAATCCATATATAAAAACGTAAATCTCAGTCAGCTTACATGCTGTGTGGAATTGCTCAAAGCTAAAATGCACCTTAAAATAAAAAAAGAAGCCTAGCTTGTAATCGCCCCAGTGCCTGGTGTTAGCTACTTAGTCAGTAATAGGCTAATTGTTATTCAGCATAAATGTTCCCTCTCAATTTATATGGAATTCACTCATTTATTTTGATCACTTTATGTGAATGAAGCAAAGCTGTTCATGTTGTTAGATAGAACTGGTCAGTGCTGCTTAATTTTTATCTCTTAACATCGGCATGAGATTTTTGTAATAAAATCATTCACACACAACCTGTAACATGTATGAGTGAAACCTGAGGCCCCCTTCACTTCATCCATGTTAAATACATAAGAGCATCAGCTTAGATGCTTTGCGTTGCAAAGCTTCAGCTGGTGCTAAGGGTACGTATAATTTCAAAAATCTCCAGGACTCAGAACAAGAAGATCTATTGCCATGGAAACAAATATTGTATCAAAGTTGGGTAGGATCAAAAAGCTTTGCTCATAACCAGGACAACAGTTGCGTTAGAATATGGAAGAAATTATGGATGTTTTAGGAATGAGTATTACGCCAAAGGGCCTTTGTAAGACTCCTGCCATAGAGCTTCAGCATTCAGCGTCACGAGTTGGCTCTTATAGGTTGTGTCTCAATCCTCTGCCCACAGCCAGAGAGAGCATTTTCCTCTACCATTAGAAAGCACGTATTTTTTAAAGATCTTCCACAGAAGACTTTATGACGTTCCTACATCATAAAGCTGTCCTGCTTATAGCAATATAAAGCAACTATAAAAATTACGTGCTTGTAAACAATCCTCCATACATTTGGAAGAAATAGAGTGAGTTTTGCACTCCTCTGCGCATACATGGAGACTTCTTGTCTCCTTGGCGAGCCATGGCATTGAGAAGGCACCGCTGTGCAATTGAGAATAACCAGGGACACCTAGATGGGCCAACACTTCCCTTGGCCCAGGAAGAGGCACCTGTAGGATAGAGGGGCTGCAGGTGCATTGACCAGCCCTGCCCCACAGGCACCCTATGTGGTAAGGAGCCTGGGGGTGCTATTGACCAGCCCTGCTCCATAGGCACCCTCTGTGTCAATCTCTTTAATAGCTGATCTCTAAACTGATCCTGAATTTCAAACTCTGAGCTAAGCTTGGGTGCACAGGAGCAACTGCTTGGCCCCACTTGGGAGCAGAGAGAAGGCTGGAAGAAGAGATAGGTCATGGTGACTTCATACCCCAGGCATCACCATGGTGTGGATTATGGTAGGGGACCTGTCTTGCCTTGCCTGCCCTACTCCAGGGGGAGCATCCTGGGCTGGGAGCATCCCAGCACCTCCATGAGCAGGCTCCTGCAGAAGGGCGCAGGGCTGCTTCCTCAAGTGACCCCCAGTGGACTCACTCATGGCCTGTATCACCAATAATTTATTCTGCTTTTATTTCTCTTTTAAATTAGATATGCATGCGTAATACGCACTTTGGAGCAGGGAAGGACCCTTCTGCGGGTGCCTATGGCGCTGGGCACTCTCAGGTGTGTAATTAAGAGGTGTGTAATTGATGTACAAGGAGAAGATATCTCAGTGCATTGCATTAAAAAGAAGCAAAGGGCGAGGGGGGGAAGAAACAAAGAAAGAAACCCAAACTGTGCTGCATAGTGGCCACCGAAGCCCCCCACTCTTTCCTCCCTCGTGTAGAAGTTTACACGGATATAAACCGAGGGGTTCCTCTTCCGTGGGGCTCAGCCCTCAGCAGCCACTCACTCATTTCAAAGACGGCAGAAAGGTCCGGGGCCGACCGCCCTCCACTCCCGCAGCAGCCCCTTACCTTCTCGTGCTGCTCCGTCCTCCCGCTGCCCCCCGCTCTCGCCCCTTCACCGCTCAGCTCGCAGTTTAAAGCCAAACCACGCAGAAAGATTAACAAAAGTTTATTAGTCATGAAGTATTAAAATCGTGATAAATGAAAGGCTTCAATGCAAAGTTCAAGCAAGCAAACTATCCCCAAACTTGAGACAAAGGACTTGGTGAATCCTACAGAAGGAAGTCCTGTCTTTTTTTTTTTTTTTTATGTTTTTTGCCTGCGGTTCAAGACACCTCTCATATCTCACACATCACATCAAAATCTATATTTTTTCATATCACTTACTGAAAATGATTTTATTTATCCATTCACATTAACTTGATATAAACGTGTCCGGAAAATCAAGTAATATGTTTTATATTAGAGCAAACATTTAAGAAACCCAAAGTTCAATAAATAAGCACAGACAATAAGTTAAAACATATCACGAATCGACCAGTATGTAACGAGAATGCTTTATCTACACAAAACATCCTATTTCACATCGTATGATCATTCCTCCAGCGGCCCTGCCCTGCGGCGGGGTGACCGGCACATGCAGGCGGGCAGGCCGCGGGGCCGAACCGGGCCGGGCCGACGCTGGCCGGGCGGGGCGGGAGCCGTGGCGGTGCGTCCGCGGGCGGCAGCGGAAGATGCAGGAAGGAGAATAGCAGCAAAACGTAAATAAATGCGTAAATAAAGCTGGGGCGGATCGGCAACTCAACTGTCACGGAACCAAAGATCCGGAAAGGGAAGTGCTCTTGCTTTTTTTTGCCCTTTTTTTTTTTTCCTATTTTCCTCCCCCGCGTACTTTACTTTTAGAAAAACTTTTTTTTTTTTTTTTTTTTCCTTTTTCACCATCTTTCTCCCTTGTAAATGCTTTATCAAAATGGATTTGATTCTCTGTGGGGTCTCTGTGCCGCTCCGCGCACCCGCCCGGCCGCCCCCATAGACGGCGCCCTCGCAGCGGAGGGAGCCGGCGACAGATCCTGCTCTTGAATAAGCATCAAAACTAACAAAACCAAACCAAACAAAGCATCTTTGCAGAGCCGGTCGGGGGCCGGTGGGAGCGCCCGGTCGTGGCGTGGCAGGAGGGAGCAAGGGAAACAGGGAAGGGATCAGAGCTGGGGGGCTCCGGGTGCTCCCGCCGTCACTGGAGGGGGCACGGCCGCCGGGTGCAGGGGGAGCAGGGGATGCGCGGGGGGGTCGCAGGTGTGGGGGTGGTACGGGGGGATGGGGGTGTTTCTGGGCCCACAAACCAGCCCATTGGCGTCTGGTTTCAGATCCTGAGTCGACTCCCTGGTAAGTCAGGTGGGGGAAGGCGGGGGTCGGGCGGGGACGGGCGGGCGACACGAGGGTGCAGGGCCAGGCGGCGGCGGCGGCGGGGGACGTGGCGGCGGCCATTAGGTGAAGCTCATGGAGACTGTGTGCTCTAGTGCTTTGCGGCGGAGGGAGGCGATGCTGGTTCCCCGCCACACGTCGCTGCTGTCCGGGGAGCTGCAGAGCTGGGGCGAGCCGGTCACGTTGCTGGGCCCAGGCAGGGAGGCGGGCACCATGCCGGGGAAGGCGGGCTGGTAGAGGTGCGACTGCAGCCCGGCCCCGTTGGAGCCCGCCAGGCTGTTGGAGAGGCCCATGGAGTTGGGCGGCGGCCCCGCCGCCAGGCTGCACTGGGAGAGGGACTGCGCCATGGCCTGCTGCCGGCCCAGCGCCGGCGGCAGCGGCAGCTGCGACACGCCCGGCATGGCGGCGGCGGCCCAGCGGGTGTCGTTGGCATGGAAGGAGCAGAGGCTGTCGCCCATAGCGGCGGCGGCGGCGGCGGCAGCCGAGGGAAACTGCGGCAACCCCGGCGTCGGCAGCAGCGTGCCCGGGGCGCGGAAGACGTTCGTGGTCTTCTTGCGCTTCTTCCACTTGGCCCGCCGGTTCTGGAACCAAACCTGCGGGCGGCGGGCAGCGACACAGTTAGCGACACCAGCCAACCAGCCGGGGCGCGGCTCGGTGCAGTGGGACCCGCCCCGGACCCTATCCCGACTCTCTCCCTTCGCCCCGCCGGCCTTTGCTTCTCCCACAGCTGCTCTTTACACCCGCAGCCTTACGCGTATCCCCGTCACCAGTTAATGATACTGTTGGAACTTCCTATAGCGAAACCCATCTGTGCGTCAGTCCCGGGACTGAGCTGCCTGCGGCCTCCCTCCCTCGGGGAGAGGGTCCAGGATAGGAGCCAGGCCTCCGCCCGGAAAAATATATATGAAAAGTAACAGTTACACAAACAGAAAATAAATGAGCGGCCCACGGCTCTTGCCCTTGGGTGGAAGCGCTCCCGAGCCACCACCGTAGCAGAGCCCAGTGCAGCGGGGCGGAGAAGCGTGCCCCGGGCCGGGTCGTGGTGCAGGAACCCATGCAATCAAACCGCCCGTGTCCGGGGCTTTTCTATAAAAACAAAACCAGAAACCCGCCAGAAGATGTTCTCGGTGCTCGGGAGGTGGTGCCCCCCCGGTGCCTGAGTGGGTCTCGCCGCGCCACCGTCGAAATCACACGGGGAATTGCAAGGGGAGAAAAAGCGGGTCCACTCCGAATTCGGAGGATCGCTGCTGCCAGCGATGCTGGAACTGCGGTTTTGTGCTACATACGTACCCAGATGGAGAACGACGGGTGCGCGTTAGCGGGAATGAGCAGCCGTTAGGGAGCTAAGTGTTATATCGAAAAATCCGTTCAATTATCTTTTAGGGTTAATAGTTAAATTGCGGCTACAAAATCTTTTTATGTTTCATGGTTTACTGGTGGTGTAAAGAATCTCCATCAGGTCTGATCTCCTCAGCTTATAGCCACGCTGCATATGCTTTTAAAATGTGAATGTTTCCAGCTGAAAACTGGTGCATGACAGGTTAGAACGCAAGGAAAACCTGGGGGAGATGTTGAAAATGCACACATGACAACTCTAGAAATATATGAACCACGAGCGTCTGGCAACTTTGGGCTCCTTTTGAAATGCAGCTAGTCTCTGAAAATTATTAATACAACAGTGAGAATCTAATGGAGGTTGGAATCTAAAAATCTGCCTTGATGATGTCTGCTGTTACAGTAATATAGACGTACTGTAAATGTATTTTAAAATATATAGCCCATTTAATTCCCCAGCTATAAATGGGTTAGAGAGAAAGAGAGGGAGAGAGAAGGGGAGACAATATCACTTTTGTTTTTCTTTTTTTTTTTTTTTTTTTTTCCCTTTCATGAGCCGAAGCTTTATGAAGATCTCATTGGAATCTAGTGGATGATTAATGTGAAGATTTGGTAGGAAATCTGGAGAGCTGTATTAAAGCTCAGATCTCAGGTTCATTTCGATCAGTCAGCCGTGAACTCTGGGCCGAATTCATTACACTTTAATAGTGCTGGGAGAGGAAGAAAATGCAATTTCTCATTCCATTAGAAAACTAGAAAATACTTTCAGCTTGTCCCCTATTAAGATGTGGCAGGTGACGGGACCATTGTGGGGGACACGGTCAGTGGAATTACAGCACATTATTTTTGTTCGTATAAAATATTGAAAGGCAAGCCTGACTGTGCAGAAGTTATTTCACTGATTTGGTTTTTATGTAAATAAAATATTGAAAGTTAATTAATCCGTGCTAGAGACTAATGATTATGCTTATTATATTGCATTTGATCGTGTAATTTGCATGATTCTCGCATTGCTGCTTAATAAGCCATTCCAGGTTATAAATAATTCTGAAATTGGTTTCTAATAATGGCATGCTATAAAAAGAATGGTTTTATTACAGCAGCCTGAAAAGCAGAGCAATATCAGACATGGAATTGGACTCCTGTTTAAGCACCAGCCGCTTTAATAATTATTTAAATGTATCATATACATTAAATACAGATCTAAAACGAGGAAAGTGGTGATTTATCCTAGCATCTAAAACCCTTAAAAACATATACAGCCGCTATAAATTAACTATTTGGAGCATTCCTTAATCAGTGTGGAGCCCACATGCTGCAAAGAATATGTAGGCAATCTGTTAACTATAAAGAAAACTGTAAAGTACTGGCATAAGAACATAAACCAATTACTATTTAATTTAAATTTGGTCAAGGAGCGGTGATACATCGGATTGTGAAGTAAATACATTAAATAAATTGTTTTGCCTTAGATTACATAATGTTAATCATTTTGAAGTGTTAATTAAGAAGGTTATGTTGATCTGATTACTTTTTAAACTACAGAACATTATTGTAAAAAATATTTAAATTACCGCTCTATTAAACTGTTTTTATCAGCAGTCTCGAGCTATTAGCATTGGTTTAAGATTATGCTGAGGCCATTAAAACACTTTGTCTTTCTTCCTACGAATTCCTTTGATGTGCTGTTAGAAAATAACTATTTCCATTTTATATTTTATATTTTACTTCATTCACTACATTCCTAATATTGAAATTGGTATCATTAACCTTTGGAAACCCAATAAAGTTTAATAGACCTCGTTTTCTTTTTTCATAGAGTCAGTTGTCCAATTATATTTTATTTGTGAATCTAATTTCTTTCTTAATTTAAACTAATTATGGTCCTGTGTAGGCTGAGTCAAATTGTTTTACTTTAGAAAAGCAAACGTGCTTTTTCTGTCACATTCAAGAAGAGAGTCTGTTTCCGTTCATAAAACCCGCTCATTTAGGGATTTCTTTTGACGTGTCTTTATTTAGCTGAGGACTCTAACCTGGCTGAGAGGAATTTTGAACACCGGCTGCAGTAAAGTGCGGCGGCATTTCCCGTGCACTCTGCTGAACGTGGGATGCACATCCCACAAGTGCTTCTATTGTGCAGGATTTCATTCCGTGGAAGGAACTCACCCAGAAAGTCGATAAAATATCGTTTTACACACAAAAGCTGTATTGGAGCAGTCTCGCGGTTTACATTTGCTAAAAGAGTTTCTTACATGACTACGTGCAAATGCATGTATGTCTGTGTGCACATGTGTGAACAAAGTACACCCTACATGTTAAAGTTACTCGCTACCTCTCCTGTCTCTCGGCATTAGAAAAGTGGCAGTCCGGGGAAACTGCGAGTCCAGCTAGAACTGGCTTTGACCGAAGAGCCTTTTTAGAAGCCTGTGTGCCTTCCCCCGCTCACCAAGCCGACCCTCCCGCCGGCAGGCTACAGGGGACGCCCGTTCAGGGCTGAGACGTAGCCGCCCGGCTGTCAGTACGCTGGAGAGCGGCCCTGCCGTCGGCACCCGGAGCAACAACCCCCTGGCACACTGCGCCGCCGCCGCCGCCGGGAAGAGGGGCGATTCGCCGGCGGTTTGGGATCGTCCCTTAGCGCCGCGCTATTATTGCGAGGGCTGAGACTCGCCCCTCCCGGGCTGCGCCTTCCCGGGCTCTTTCCTGCCGCGAGTTGGGCCGTGGAGCGGGGGGGAAGCCCCGCCCGATTCCCACTAGGGAACACCGAGCTGGGGGGGCTAGGGGACAAGGGGACACCCCGAAGGGACATATTTGTGGAAAAGGGGGGCGGGGATGTCCAGTTTCAAGGCTTCCTGAATTAACTGTTGCGTTAGGGCTGAGATTTTGGGACACCCTCCGCCCGCTCCGTTGTGACTGGCCTCGCCGCCGGCCGGCCATGCCGCCTTCGGTGCGATTGGGTAAGGGGTCGGCGGGGAGTTAAGTGCGCGGGGATCGCTGCTCATACCTGCACCCGGGACTCAGTGAGGCCGATGCGCAAGGCCAGCTCTTCCCTCATGAAGATGTCCGGGTAGTGGGTCTTTGCGAAGCTTCTCTCCAGCTCGTTCAGCTGTGCGGGAGTGAAGCGGGTGCGGTGCCGCTTCTGCTTCTGCTGCCCCTGTTGCTGACCAGCCTGGCTGGGATTCTGGCCACCCTGCTGGCCTTGCTGCTTGTCGGGGTCTTTGGCGCTGACGGCTAAGGAGCTGGGGTTGGATCCCACCGTGGTGATGTCCTCCCCCGGCAGCAGGGTGGTCCCTTCTACCGTGTCCGAGTTGGGAGCCATGTCTCCCGGGTGTCCCCCCGGATCCGAGCCCCCTACGCCCAGCCGACACTTCACCGCCTCCCGGTGTCCCAGCAGCTCGGCCGCATCTTTCATCCCTGCAGAAGCAAAGGAGCTGCGGTCACTCCCCTGCAGTCGGGCATGCATCCATCAAAGCCGCTTTCCAGCGCACTGAGCCGGTGAGAGGCACCCAGCCACCGCCACCGTCTCCCCCCCGCCGCCCCACGGCCACCCGCAAGCCCCACAGCCTGGCTCGGCTCGGCTCCACGAAGCGCAATGTCCCTGGCCCGGCGCAACCGGAGCGCGGAGAGAAAACTTTGCACCGAGCAGCTCCTCGTCCTGCTTAAATAATAGCTTTCTGTCGGGCCTTCCCTCAAGGGAGGGGAAAGAACAAGGGGGGACAAGTTTTGTTGGGTTCAGACGGCTTTTTCCAGAAGGGCTGGTAAAAGAAAGAGATGGAAAGAAAGAAAAGAAGGAACGCTCGAACCGCCCTGCTGCCAGGAGCTTTACCTCCCCGACGGATGTGTGGGGACCTCGGTTACCCTGGCCGATCTTTCCCCTCTCCTCCCTCCGCTCCTCTAAACAAACTAATGAATAACCATAAAGAGCCAGATACAGATATTTCTCTTTTTTTAAGGAAAAGAAGGAAAGGGGGAAGCGAGCAGGCGAGCAGAAAAAGGCCACCCAGAACTCCTTCGTAAATACCATCGAGCTCATCTGTCCTAAAATAATAATAATCATCATCATCATGATAATAACGTGTAAGTATGTATATAAAAACAGGGGAGAGAGAAATTAAATGGTCCACAACTGTAGATCTACATACTCCTTCTCTTTTTTTCTTTTTTTTTTTTTTTTATGTTAAATCAAATTAAACTTCAATACAGTACAATTACTTTTAAAGGAATTAGCCCATTTAGATCGCATTAAGGTAAAATAAGGAACAAATTGTCAATTTCCTGCTCCGGCTTCCTCCGCGCTCGCTACCGCCGGCGGTGCAGCCGTCGCGGGGCGGGGGGGTGCTGGGGGAAACTCACCGAGACGGGCGTCCAGGAGGTCGGCGTGAGACAGCATCGCGCACCGCTCCAGGGCGAAGGCTGTTCCCCCCCAAATTTTAGCGGCCTTAAGTTATTTAAAATAGATATAAGATATGAGATATATATATATATATATATATAGATCCCCTAAATGAAAGAAAATTCGGTGTGTGGTTAAAAAGGGGGTCTCTTGCATTATAATGTCCTTTAGAGAGACGGGGAGGTGCTTAACACTTCAATGAACCCGTGAGCAGCTCGGCGCGGGGACCAATCAGGAGGGCAGCCTGCAAATGTCAGAGCCCGGATCGCCCCGCTCCGCCCGCCCGCCGCCCCGGCCTCCCGCCGCCCAGGCTCGGCCCGCGCTGCCGTTCCCTTCCCTGATCCGCTTGCCCTCGCCGCCCTCCTTACCCCTCTCCCCTTGTCTTCTAAATGCACATTTGCCACCCTTCTCCCGCTGCAGGTCACCCCATATTTATTGTGTTTTTCTTATTTTCTTTCTTTTTTTTTTTTTTTTCTTTTTTAATGCTTCCCAGGAGAGCACCTTCGCACCCAGCCCAGTCAGGCCCCTAGGGGTGGCTGGCAAGCACAGCGCCCACCTAGGGGGATGTGAAACGTTGAGCAAGGGCTGGTCCTGCTCGCCAGCCGCCCAGGGTAACGGGACCGGCGGCGGCAATCGCGACCGTCTCTCACCCACCCGCCGTCTCCGCGGGGTCCCGACGGCTGTGGGGCGGCTGGGAAAAAGAAACGTGGGTCAGCTCCCGCAGTGCCTGTACCGCAGAGGCTCGCCCGGCTCCGGGGCTGCCCGCCAACTCGGTCTCGGTCTCTTTAGCCCGGTGCAGAGAGGGAGGAAAGCACGGCGCGTCCCCGCCGCCCCGGGAGCGCTGCCTCCCGGGCCGGGATTTAAAAGCCCGTAAGCCCAATTTTCTTTTTTTCGGGTAAAGTTTCTTAAGTTCGGCTCGCCTACAAACTGAATTCAAAGCAGTAAATAAAGTTAAATGCTTTTTATTTTCCTCTTGAATATGTTAAACTACTCGAACAATCTAAAGTGCTTTGCACAAGTGAAGCGAACCATTTCTAATGTTCTGATTTTTCAAAGCCAGCCAACAACAAAGTTTAGATTAGTAATATATTTCTAACCAGAGTAATTTTCAAGATCATTAGGCATTTATGTAATTAGTGCCAAATCTATAAGCTTTTATTACGATTATTAGAGTAAAATCAGTATAAATTTGTACTAATTTACTACTGTTTAGACTTGGCTGTCAAGCCAAGAGGTTCTTATTGTAAATGATAACTGAGGAAATTAAGTGCAAAATTCTGTACCATTTCTGATCCGCTCCTAAACAATCCGTTTCAATTGTATTTGTAGCAGAACATAATGCCCTTTTAAAGTTATTTGACTTGTATTTTTATTTGCAAAACAAGAAAAATACCCTCTACCCGGGTACAATGAAAACTGATATTTACTACTTCTAACTTGATTAACATTGATTTTTAATTCAAAAGTGATGCAATTAAGGTTATTCATTTAGTGCAAATAAAGCTTCCACCAAAAAGGGAGCCCAGTGAAGTCTGTGTTAAATAATACAGCGCCAATGGCTTTTTTTTATCCTCGCCATCCAATTGACTTACGCAAAACATTGTAAATACTGCATGCGAACAGATGCAAGAGTGGTTTTGTTTGCAGCTCAGATGTGCAGGGGTTTCGGCAGCGACTGAACAAGGAGACAAAGGAACCGGCCGACCGATCTCGAGCGCAGTTTTACTGCCTTTTTTTTTTTCCCCCCCTCCCTCCTCCCTGCTCAGGCTACATTGAATGAATCAAGCTTTCGAGACGTCGGGCTGTTGCAATGAACCTGGGTGCCCGGAACGGCCTCTAAAAGCAGGGAGAGAAACCCAGAGCCGGGCCACAATTTAGCTGCAGAGAGGGGGAAAGAAAGAGGTGGAGGTGGGGTGGGAGTTTCGGGATTCCCCCTCCCCCCCCCCTTCTTTCTCTTTTTTTTCGGGTGGATGGGACACGGTGGAGATGGCTCATTTGTTTTGTATTTTTCCTTTGAAAATCATTGTCTGTCTGCGACTCCGGGGCAGGAGGGGAAGCCCCGGCGGTGAAAATTCCCGACAGCCGCCCTCCGGCCACTGCCAGGGCCGGGACCCGCGGAGCGAAGCCGCCGGAGGAGGGTCGGGCCAGGGCCAGGGCCAGCGGGAGCGAAAGGGAACGCATCCTTCCGCGGCCCCGGGGGGGCCGGGCCCTACTTGGGGCCGGAGTTATGCGACTGATCAGGTGCCGGCCGGAGTGTTTGGGGTTCAGTTTTAGCTGTAGCTGCTGGCAGAAATGACCGGGCGCTGCAGGCGCCCGAAGCCAGCTTCTGCCGAGCATGGTACGGGCAGGGGGGCACGGCGAGCCTGCGCGTCTATTCTGTGTTGTTGTATGTTTCGGATCGATAAATAAATGTGTAATAGTTAATGTGCAGACACATCAGAGTAATAACAATGGGATGAAATCAAAGGATTATCAATCTCTGTTAGTAACTGCTGAATAACAATGTTCCGGTGTGATTGATAGCGCGCTTCATTTTATGACTTTTCTATTGCTCTTGATTTTTATAGCAGTATAAACAAACTAAATCATTTCTTCGAAGACTTCAGAGCGAAATCGTCTTAAGGGAAGGAGGAAATCAGAGAAGGAAGTCCGCGGGAGAGAAAGGAGCGAGCAGGGCTGACACTCTAGCGTGTCAGAAAGAAAATGACAATAGGGCATATGTAAAATACCGTAATCGCATTCTGCTTCCGCGCACTCCTGTTTTGTCAAGTGCCTGAATTCACCTGGGCAGTGTCGGAGATGTATTTACAAGGATTTTATTCCCCGTCATCTTTCCATTTTCCCAGTGTAGCCAGAAAACTGCCAGTCAAGTCCGTTCCCTGTTACAATTTACGGTATTCCCCACATGATCATACGAACTGAAGTTCATAACAAGGAAAGGCTTTAGCACAATGGCCCAAAATCTTCAGAGTGACACGGGTGTCTTCAGAAATCACTTCAGAGCAAAGTAAAAGGATTTTCTATGACGGATCCAGTGATTTTTCCTCAATAAATAGGTTTTAGATTGTTACACACACGCAGAACCGGAACAAAGGGCAGTACCAGAAAATATATTGGTTGCCCCTAATAAAATTTATTTAGACAGTTTACTTCTCATAAAAAATAGAGATTGAATTTCGTACAGGAGCGCCTGCCAAGGGGCTAGGCACTGGGAGATCATCTCCCCCCGCACCTTCCCTTCGTTTTCTTTCCTTTTCTCTCATTTTTTTTTTCTCCTTGTTAGGCCCTGTCCCGGGGTCCTGGCCGAGTCCGCTCTCCCTTCGCCCCCCGCCCCTGTCCACGGTGCTCCCACCTGCCCAAGGAAGGGCGGCGGGAGCGGGGCGCCCCGCGTTTGGGAGCGGTGTCACCCTAATTCTCCGGTGCCGTGACCTGGGAAGAGAGGGTAGAGAACTTTCCAAACCCCACAGCTTCCCCCTCCCCTCCCCGCCGCTAAACTGAAGCCCTGATCGAATGAGGCTGTAATACAAACAAGTGTATTTAACCAATTCTGCTCTAATTTAGGAACAGAACCTTCTTTTATCAGAATAATTATACCTGGAGCGAGCAACACGGTAAAATAAGGTTAAACTGCTAAAGTCAGCAGGGTGGCTTGGCGTAAATGGCTGATCAGATTCGTAATTTTTTACTTATGTATTTATTGAGCACCCGTTCAGTTAAGGGGACTGCTGTATGCAAAGCAACGAAATTGCATTTTACACTTAGCGACACTCCCCGCGCTGATAAAATGTAACTTTTGGTTGCCTGATTGTACGCGCGACTTTTTTATTATTATTTTTATTTGATTATTTCATTATTTCCAGACAGTACTGCTGAAATGTCGGATATTATTATTCACATTCCCGCTCCTCAGTGCTGCACTGTAACATTGTTCGCCTAATGAGAAGCGCCTCCCTCAATAATTAACGACCTCACATTTCCCTATTTTCTTGCGTGATGAAAAGAATCAATTTTAATTCATTGTAAATTACAGCTATGCTTTTGAGTGTTATTTGCTTACTTTTCCACATCGGCATACCCTAAACACAAATGACAAATTAAACTATATCCTTTCGTTAGGCGTAATTTGGAGTTAAGAAATGGAAAAACATAAACACGTGTTTTCATTTCAGTCAACCCTTTCGAAAATATGACTTCTTTGGAAATGAACGACAAGGCTGCCAGCAGCTACAGATCCCAATTTATTCATTCCAGTCAGAACTAAGTGTGACGATCATCGCTGCTTTACGACACTAGGCTGCATGCAGCATTTCGTAGCTGCAATGAATATACTTCTTTGAAAGCAACTTTATGAAGTTTAAAGGCATCCGAGGCAAGAACGATCGCTGCTGATCAGAAACACAGCCGCCAGGAGTTCCGAAAGCAGCCTCCCTGAGGGTGACGGGGAGAGCTCGGGTCTCCTCCTGTTATCTGTTCTCAAACATCGCCAAGAACAGCGTTTTCCCATTTGCTTATTTATCTAAATATCTGCATTTCGCTCTGGCGGAGTCAAAGGCAGGCGCTTCCGACTGTCTCCTCGCCGCAGGCTGCGGGGCACCTCTCTACAGCGAACCGGTTGCCATAGATTGAAAGGATGGCTTCTATCAATTAATTTTCATCAGAACGATGACAACCAGTCTTTTATGGGGAAAAAGCTATTTTAATATAAAGGTATGACTGACACCCCCCACTCGCTCTCCCCCGTCCAGACGCAAACTCTTCACACACACGAAGTAGCTTCCCCCTTTCCTCCCCAGCTTTGTGTGCATGTATGTATGTACAGGCTTCGGGCATTGCACTGAGTTCCCAAACTTAAAAATGCGGAGCCCAAGCCTAGCGCACCGAGCCCTGCCTTGTGCGGCAGGACAGGAATTGCTGGAGCTGCCCTGAGGGCGCAGGCACCGCCGCCGGTACGAAGCATTTTCCAGATGCACCTCTGTTTAGGGAAAGAGCGCACTTCCAGGAAGACTCTTCCTACTGAGCTTTGAGGAATTTGCTTAACACACACCCATATATTTTAAACCCCAAACTTCTTCATCCGGCTGGATAAAATAAACCACCATATGTGGCAATGAGAGGATACACATCAGAGATGGACGTGAATGGGGTATTTAACTTTCTCCTTTTTAAGGCCGTAGTTTTAATCTCCAATTACATAGGTGGTGTATAGTAATAAGAAACATACACATTTTGTTTGTATGTGTTAAGT